ATCAGAAAATAGTATAATATGGGCCCTTTAACAGCTATAATTACACCTCAAATTGGTCATAATATTTTGTTCGATATACGTTATATATGTTACAATATAATAACTGGCTTGTATAATTAATTGTAATTGTAGAGCAGACAGATACATGGAAAATTGCTAACGTTTCACCTTCTACATCCACCATCCATCAACCGAAGCTCACAATAATTGCCATAGGACAGACCACCTTTCACAGTCTAAGTATAGTGCAATATTGTCCACGTGCCAAACAGAAGACACAGTGGCACATTACCTCTTAAACAAAGCCTCAAATCATATCATCTCTGGAGGCCAAGTCACCGCGCCGTGACTGACTTTGGACATTAGCGTTGACAAGGGTACCATTAAATCGCACGCTGATCGTATCACACTGTCCGCACTTCATCTATCAAGCACCACCGACCACCCCAGCGCCACGGTACGGGCTAAAAATAGAGCTAATTTAACGGTAAAAGTTAGCACGTGCCGGTGCGGTGGTCCTAGTTGACGGGGCGGATGAAGACAGATGCTGCTGATTACTGGTGGCGTGCTGGGGATAATTAGGTATAATGTGTGGCTGTTTGGGACAAAACGCAGGGACATGGGGAAAAGGAGAGCGTATGAATGAGAGAGAAGGGGAGATTAAGCAGCTGGCTCTGGAATGATGACACAAGAAGGAGGGATAAAGACGTATACCAGAGCTGAATCCTGATCAGCCTCATACAGACAGGAGGAGGAGGAGGAGGGGAACGGGACTATAAGATGCAACACGATCATGGACTGGGCAGGTACACTTCTTCATTAGCCTGGATGGACAGTAGGAGTGTAAGAAAAAAATGTGTCAATGATATATAGCAATACTTCACTGCGCAATTCTGAAATCCCAATCCCAAAACCCCATTTTTCATCAAAACTTCATCAGTTACACTTACAGTTCTCATAATTATAACTCATACTATTTTGTTCTTGTGAAGTTGTACTTGACTATAATAAAAGAAGTAATTATTGCTAAATTACAAAACATGGTCCTTTGTGTTAGGATCAGGATATATCATGACATACTCCATCGTGAGGTGCATATCGTGATAGGAATCATATCACCAAATTCATGACAACACACATCCTTAATGGGCACGAACCACTAGGGCTGGGTATCAGTAAACGGATACGATACACAGATACAGTACTACAAGATATATTTCAAATCAATTGTTCAAAACCAAATCTTCTTTTTGCCAAAGTAAATACGAAACATGCCCATTTTACTCATCAAAACTGTGAAAATGTCAAATGTGTCGCAAAAACGAGTTTCCTTTCACTGATTAAGCACCAAAACTGTAGCGCTGTAACTAAATAATTTAGTAAAATGTACCAAAAAAAATATACTCTTGGCAATATATCGATATAGCAGTCCCCGATATCGATACTGTATCATCACATGAAATGATACGATATATATCAATATTTCGATATTTTTGCACACCCCTACTAACCACAGAAACTGGAGAACACCTCAAGGACTCAATCAAACATATTCAAAACCTTTTAGCATGTGGTAAAACTCTAGCACACTAAATGTCCGACTATATATTGTACAGCATTGACTCTTGTGAGCTTTAAGTCATATTATAATGCTGTCACCGTATAAAAAACATACCAGGAGTTATGTTTTGCTGCATTCACACATGTTTGAGCAGTGTTGGGAGTAACGCGTTATAAAAGTAACAAATTACAGTAATGCATTACTTTTTGCTGTAACGCAGTAATGTGAGGCATTACAGGGGGAAAAATTGTAATATTTTACTCGGTACAAATGTGAGTAACGCGCGTTACAGTGTTTTTTTAACCTGGATTGAAGTGGTGGGTTTTTCTTCATAAAAATTCGCTAAAATCACCTCGATATCAGCAGCGGTGAAACACCGGAGATGCGCCCTCATAGACCTTCAGGTAACCGCGGGCGAAAGGAGACAAAGAACTCCACGCTGTTTAGACCTGGTTTAGACCTGGGTCAGTTCTGGTTTAGACCTGGTTTAGACCTGGGTCAGTTCTGGTTTAGACCTGGTTTACACTCGTCCCTCAATCGCAGTTCACTTTTTAGATTTTTATTTATTTATTTTTTTGTGCAATTTTGCATGCCCTGTTTTTTTTTACATTGTATGAATGCGTATTGCGTTCCTCCCGCTGCGTCCTGATTGGCCAAGGGACTCCTGTCTCCTGTACAGTACAGTACAGAATGTGTTCAGCTGCCAAATTTAAATACATGTTCAATCTGTATCAGTGTGATTCTGAAGTGCTGTACGGTTGCAAGTTTTCTCCCCGACGAAACCCACAACGTCGATGAAACGTTCTGCACCGACAAAGGCTCTTGCGCTCGCACCCAAAAGGCAGAGGAAGATGCAAACCATCACACAAAAAGTTGGACTTCTGGACACGATGAAGGAAGGCAGAAGTTACGCGCTGTAACAGACTCTTGCACCGGCTCGGGTACCTGCAAATAGTTGCTGAAATCAGGGGCCGCGAGCCCGAGCAGCAGGGTCCATAAAGAGCGATCAGGGTGACAGCCGCTCTTACCTCCGTGAGGTGCGGAGCAGAGCCGCTCCTTTCTCCTGCGGTCTCCTTCGAGCCCGTCCCTACAGTGAGTCCTGTTTTAGTCCTAGTTCAGTTCTAGTTTAGTCCTGGTTCACTTCTGGTTTAGTCCTGGTTCAGCTCTGGTTTAGTCCTGGTTTAGACCTGGTTTAGTCCTGGTTCAGTCCATATACAGCGCAAAAGTTATTTTGGTGAGAGTAACTTAAAGTAATGCAATAGTAATGTAATGCCTTACATTTTAAATGCAGTAATATTGTAATGTAACGAATTACTTTGAAATGACAGTAATAGGTAATAAATAACGCATTACAGTTTCAAAGTAACTTGCCCAACAGTGTGTTTGAGTAATCCTAATGTATTAGTCTGCTTACATCTCCTACATCTCTCTTCCACCTTGTGAAGCGGTAGTTTTCAATTTCACAGCTGCCTTTTATATTATATATATTTAATACAGTTGAGATTGGCAATTCCTGATCTGAAATCATCCAAAATAGTGCCATATAGGCGCTTTAACAATAATGAACAGCACTTACTTGTAAGAGTTAAAGATGCGTGGAAAATAGCTAAAGCTTTCCTTTACTTCTACCTTCCACCAACCCAATCGTAGCTCTTCTTTAGATTGGATAAACACTAACCCTAACAATTAGAGAACACCTCGGAAATATTGGAGATTCTATAATGACGCAATCTGCAAAACAAATTCAAATCCTTATTCTTACCCATTTTCTCAGCTTCGAGCACATGAACAAAGATAAATAGTGATTGATTGTAACAATGAAAGTTACGTGGAAAATTGCAAATGCTTTCCTTTATGCCCACAATCTATCATCCGAGGCTAACAATAATTGCTATCAGACAGTCCACAGAAAGGGCTGATGTGATGCTACTTGTTACACAACTTATCATTCCTATTCAAATCCTTATGTGTTCCATTTTGTAAGCTTCAAGCACTAAGGCCTGATAGATGCTGATAGCGTGCATACGAGTGCCTTTATCTGACTTTTATCGGAGCTCTTCTAACGCTGTCTACTCCAGTCTAGCACCAAAAGCACCAATTGAAATAATGGGACTGAATGTCTATACGTTTTAAAAGGCATTTGGGGAATTTGATCCTACCGGAGACAATGGATGAGGATCATGTGGGAAAAAATACTTCTGACAACTCCAGACAGGTTTTATTTTGTTATTACTCGAAGTCAGAGAAAGTACAAAGATGCAGGATCTAACGCTACAGAAGTACAGTATCTTAAAACCAGAGACGAGGAGGAATACTTTGAAAATGTTTTTTGTTACAGAATCCCTGCATAAGAATGTATTTTGTAATGTATTCTGATATGTGGTCCAATCAAAATTCTGTATTCTGAATACTTGCAATGCTTTTACACAGAGCTGCATTCAAATTACAGTGTAAAGATGCAACATACTAGTATTCAAAATATCTTTATATTTGTTTCACTATTTCCTATCACTAACTGGAGAAAGTAGAATCACACATGGACTCACAAGAGCAGGGTTGTCTATTTTTCTCACTAATAATGTGCAGTTTGATGGCAAAATTACACGATCAAATACCGTAACAAAAGTAAATATATACCACCAAATGACAAAGGAAGTCGAAGTAGTCAAAATTAGCATTGAGAATACTTATTCTCGGTACATGTATTCAGTTACGTCCCAACACTGCTTACAAACACCGTGTGAGACTCTGGAGAGAATCTTTACAGAAACAAAAGATGCTATAACATGTTTATCTGATCTGTCACTGGCTCTCAATGGCCATATTAGTGAAAGCTCAAGTTTCCACCTCATGGAAAAGCAGACTTATAGTAAAAAGAAAACCATCTCCAAAACCTGACCACAAATGACCAAGTTCAAAATGCATTGTTTAAAGGACCCATATTACAATATTTTGTGATCTACTGTATGTTATAAGGTTGTTTCCTCATCAAAAATATACCCTGAGTTGTGTTTTGTTTCATTCACACATGTTTAATACACAACATTTAGGCTGAGTTCTTCTCTCAAACAGAAAACACTCTGTTCCACCTTGTGGTGTCATGTGGTAACACAACTTCCCTGTGTTCTTAAACTTCATAAACCTTCACTAGAATCATTTGAATTAGTTTAGCCCTGGAATTGACAATCTTTACTGAACTAAAGGTAAAAAGCTGTTAACTTGAAAACAAATACTTCATGACATCACAAGGTGGAACAGAGCATTTTGAGCTTTGGAGATGTAGACAGACTGATAATAAAGGATTACTCAAATGTGTGAATGAAACAAAACACAACTCCAGGTCTGTTTTGATGCATCAAGAGTAAATTTTGTAATATAGGACCTTTAAGAAATCCATACCTTATGTATAGACACACATAGAAGATTTGTGTTGACTCACATTTGTGGACCTTCCAGGTGACCGTAGGCTCTGGTCGTCCCACTGCCAAACAGAACAGGTTCACATTCTCGCCCTCGTTCACCGACACGTCTTTGGAGATGTTAACGATCCGCGCTGGAACTGGAACACACAAGAAAAAAAAACTGCTTTGAATTTCAATGCAAAACAAGTCAATTTTTTCCTTGTAAAGTACATTTTTAAACCAATACTTAATTAGATCTTTTTCAGTGATTCTTTTACTTTTACACAGATCTGACCTGTAACTTGGCCTCGTTTGATCTCCATGAAGATTGATAGGTTTAATACCATACTGTGAAACGTTCCAAACAAAGCAATAACATGTCCGTGGAGGAAAACATTTGACGGATTCTCCACCAGAAAAGATACACAGTGTACCTTTAAGTTGATTTTTTCGTGTGATACTTTTACTTTTACTTGATTAACATTTTACTTACCTTTGTATCTGTACTTTTACTTACAAGGCCCATATTAGGCTATTTTCTGATCTATGTTATTATGTTGTTTCATCAAGAGTTTTATTAAGTAATTTAGTTTAATATTGTTTTGTTTCATTCACACATATTAAACACACACACCATGTACATTTAGGCTGAGTTCTTCTTTCAACCAGGGAAAACTGTATGTGATGGATCATTTGGATAGTTTCAGTCATGGAATTGCCCATCTATACTGAACTAAAGGTAAACTCTTAACTTGAAAACTACCATTTCATGACAAAACAGCATTTTGAGGTTTTTTTTTGAGGAGGTACTACCATGAGAACATTGCTTAAAGCTCACAAGAGTCAGTTCTGTGTAATACGAGACCTTTAAGTAACAAAACCAAGTACTTCATCCACCACTGCGGACACCATTAGCGCCCGAATTCTCCAGTCTTGGTTACGGGATGATGCAAAGCGCCGTACCTCGCGCTGACAGCCAATAATCGGACTAATGATGTGAACGGAGATGCCCAGTGAACTGCAACCATCTCCGTGACCTTCTCTTTAAAATGCACACGAGTCCAAATTGCAGCAAATGGCCATTAAAATGCCGCTCCTTACATCAGCCCGGTTTTGAATAATACAGAGAACAAGAGGCACTCCCAGACATTTTAGTATGATTCTCTTTCAAGATTCAGCAGAGAGACGATTGCTAATGGGTCCTTATCCGCCATAACATTTTAAGGATATGTTGATAAGTGTGGCTGTAATTATGAGATTGAGAAATAACATGAGGTTCAAACCAAAAAGCACGAGAAATGCTCAAAATGAAATTAATAGTTATATTTTTGTTCTTCCAATAGTCAATAGATATTAGAGTATTCTGAGCGTGGTTGAGAAAAGTACAACTACAATTAAGTGCCGTACTGCCTTGTCAATGCCCAATCTCATCTGATCTCAGAAGCTAAGTAAGATCATGCCTGGTTAGTACTTGAACGGGAGACTCTATACCGATGTTGTGTCCTCAGGCAAGACACTTCAACAGCTTTGGCCTAGAAACAGTTGTGTGAGGGATGGGTGGCTGTTGATGGTGCAGATGACCAGCCAGAACCACACGCTTTGACAAAACTTTACATAGACGAGCGGATCTGGAGCTTTTCAGATTTCAGAGGGCATGATTGACAGGTTAAACAACCAATCAGAGAGGAACACGGTCAGTTTGAGTCCAAAATAAAAATGGCTACTTCAGAATCAACAAAGCATCGAACTATTACTTAACTCAGGTGAAAGAAATTATATATTTAATTTAGAACGATACGAGAATTTGAGAGGAGATGTTTTCTGCATTTGAGAGACACGTGATACAAATTAGCAGCTGTGGTTGGATCGTCTCAAGTATGGATGGAGGGTTTTCCTTCTGGATTCGATCAGAATGTAGAAGGGACGGTCTGGTCTGGTCTGGCAAGCAGATTGGCAGCCTCTCTTCAGTCTCAAATTCTTGAAGGTCTGAGGCTACGTTTATATGATGAACAGAAGACACAAAAGTGGCCTCCCGTCTTCACTTTTCATTCCACGTTTAGACTAGCGTTTTCGGGAGGAAATCTGCGAGCATATGGTGACGCAAAAGTGTGTGGAATTCCATTGGGTATGCGTGCAGGCGGCTAGTTGGTGATGTATGTGATGTAAACACGTACGTGACGTGAGCAGATCTGACCAGAGTTTTGCGTCTTGGGCAGTGTAGACGGAAACATTACGATGAAGGGTATTCAACCTTTCCACTCTGGAGGCTGGTTTCAGATTTTTGAGTTTTTAAGCCCCAAAAATACCGTCACTGTCTAAACGTAAGGCATTTCCGATTAAATATTTTGACATTTTTACCCGCAAGCGTTCTCGTGTAAACAGGCCCTTATATACAACAAATTTCACATCGCTATATTTTACAGCTTCAAGGTTCTTGTCCACATTTCCATCTTGAAGAAGGTCACTCAAACTGTTTTTTAAAAGTGCTGTACAGTCTTGAGTTGTACAATCCTAACAATATGGAAAACAGAACTAGTTCTAGTTTAATAGTTTGCAGTGGTCCAAAGTTCTCCCACTTTCTTTATGCATTCTGAGCAAGTTTATAAGCACTTCTGAGCACTTTTTTTGCCAGTTAAATTATCTACAACTAGCATGCTGACGCGCACTTCTCAGACAATAAAAAGCTTTGTAATTAGTCACTGACAGTATACTCCAGATCTGTACTGGCAGTGTATAGCTCAAAGACATGGGAAAAAATTGGGTACATGACCTTGAAATGAACTATATTATACTGTATTATGTGCGGATATAAATTGTATTACTTGATAAAAGATTTGCATATAGAAAGTTTTATTCAAAAATCAAATGACTCAAACAATATTCACTATAGAAATGGAAAATAGTATGTACCTTGAATTTAAATTATGTTGTTCGAGGTGCACTGTGCAACTTTTCCAGTGGAGGGTCCATTACTTGCTCGTCTCCATGGAGATGTTATTGCATTGCCTGGAATGTTCCATGGTATGACATTAAACATATCCATCTAGCATTATTCATTAGAGGTGTTTCTATTCTATTGCTCAAAAATACACAAATTCTCTCTGTAAATAGGGTTGCCTCTCCACAGATCTGACCTATAGGTGAGTTTCATTGTTGACAAAAGCGCGCGTTGCATGCTGGGAATTATTTTGGTCGGCGGCAAGAAACACTAATTCAACATGACGGACGGAGCGAGAAAGCACGTAAAGGGTATTGATCCCGGTTATTTATCCACTCTAACGGCAGAGGACCCAAGACGATTTGACCAGAAATTGGTCATAAGCATCGATGGAGCCAAATCACCCTTTTCAACCCCTACAGAGCCTGGACCAAACCACATTTCTGGTCAGAATCGCCAACTACCTGACTAAATATTCACTTCGGCGATATCCACAATGACTTGGTGGAAACTCCTGGGCCATTCACAGCAGAAAAGATGAAAACCTCCAAGAGTCTCGATGCGTTGTTGAACTTGTTGGAGTCCACGGTTTGCTAGGATCTTCTACGTTTGCTCTGCGAATGTTTGAAAGCCATTTAATTCACCGTTAGCGGTTCTTTTCACTCAGAATACGAAAAAGACATTTTCTTTCTTCCGTGCTTCTATTTGTGCATCCGATAATGCAGCAGGAATTTACTGTTATCGGCAATAAATATGTGAGGTTACGCACTGTGTTTGACCTCTATCGTGTTTCTTGCCTCTGACCAAAATATTTCCCAGCATGCAACGCGTGCTTTTAATAACAATGACGTCAGCTGAAACTTGCCTATAATGGCCTATAATATAGCCTAGATAGGTTTAATCTGTAAAGTGAAACATCAATAACATCTCCGTGAAGACAAGCAGGTAGCAGACCCACCTGAAAAGTTCCAGAGTGCACCTTCAATGCACCAACATCTAGAGTTTTATTTCGTCTTATCTTGGGGGAAGCTAGTATTTGCAAACTGAAGAAGTGTTGTCATGGCTTGATGCACTGACTTGGGGCTGTAATTATTCTGAAAGCTACAGATGAACCTGGAGGGGACTTGGAAGTGGGCTTGGTGGACGCTTGTGCCAACTTTGAGCCCCCGCGGATAGAAATGTTTGTTTAGTTTTCCGTTAGCGAGCATCTGACATCTCCTCTGCCACCTGCGAGCCCAAAGCCGGGGGTGGGTTTTCTCCGACGCAGCAGATTGTCGTCGATACAGCCCGTTAAAAGTTTCTCTCCATTTTGTGAGAGGGGTATGGATGCGTTTGGAGCAGTGTGGAGCAAAATGGTGCCTTGTGTTATGTGGATCTTGGATGTGTCAAATTTGTTGGCTTATATAAGGTTTTATAACTGCATTGACACCTTACCATTTTGGGTTTTGCAGTATGAGAAATGAAATTGTGCTTCACACCACAGTCAGGCAGTGTTAGAAGCGGAGAATTGCTAATGTGGTACATTATGCAGTTTTGACAAGGAGAAAAGACATTCAGTTGTAAAAAAATGAAAAAAATAAAAATAAAATAAAAAATCAGAGACTCAGCTGTACTTCTTGGATTATGTCATGACATCTCAAGGGCTGCATTTGTTAGGATTTTAGTGCCAGATCATGGAACAGTGTGGCAGAGTTGCAAAATAAACTGATACCTAGGTATAAGTCTACTTAATTCTAACAAGTATCAAGACTGGATAAGCTACTGGGTTGAGCAGGGAGTGATGCCGGTGATACTGGAAAAATTACATAACTGAATAAAATTTTGGACATTTTATGAACTCTAGAGGAGGAAGTGGTCTGTAGAAAACCAGAGCTGTTCACCTTTGCACTGCTGCACTTTCTGTATTACCTGTCACTACTAGACAAGCTACACTACAGGTCAAAAGTTTTAGAACACCCTAATTTTTCCAGTTATTTATTGCAATTCAAGTTGTGCAAGTCCAATGAAGACGTTGAAATGGTACAAAGGTAAGAACTGAACAGCCAGAGGTTAAGAAAAAGATAAGATAACAAAACACAAGTCCAAGCTCTGCCAAAACTACCTCAGGAAAAAAAAAAAAAGATGTTAAGCTTGAAAACATGGAGTGTCCAGCACAGTCTACAGGCTTAAACCCATTGAGCTGGTTTTGGGATGAACTGGACAGAAGAGTGAAAGATGAGC